AACCGCCATCCGCGCATCACTAGCGCACACTTGTTTGTAACATCAGTGAATGAATGAGACCAGAGCTACTGCGCGTCTCTTTATAGCACATTACCCCACAGACCTATGGGAAATATAGTCCCAAATCATACATCGCCCTGTCACATAATGATGGAGTTATCTTGTGTGATAACTAATTAAAATATGGTAGTTTTATTCTACAGTATGATTAATATGAACTAACATTCATCTTTTCCAGCTCAAACTGACTCAATGACAGCAGTGATGCCAGTCCACATCTCAAACACACACGTAACTAAAGGTACATTGTAACAGTCACCAACATCAAATGTCACACAACTTAAATGAAGGGGGATCAATCACCTTTGAATAGCATACTATATTTCCTTTAGGAGCACACAACTACAACATCAAATACCATACACGTCTAAACCATATATTGTGCAACAACGCTGTCGGTCTGTCCCTATTTAGAGGCAAAACCTTTTAAATGTCCATTCACATTAAAGTTCTGAATAACCACAAATGTCCTTGGTTCATCACAGTATTGTAGATGTTTAGGATGTTAAAAGGATAAAATCCAAGATCATCCACAGCGATAATTCAGAGTAGAGTAGAGAGCAATTCAGACGAAACTCCAAGGTTGAAGACCAGCACCAGTCCGAAGTTCAGTTAAAATGACTAATATGCATTCATACATGGTTATCAAGTTTTAATTCTAATTACAAAAGTTATATCATTAAAGAACATTGATTATCATATTATAATGCTTGATTGACTGATGTTAAGAGTGTACTTTCAGATATTTATAAAACTGCCATTTCACAAACATATATATATGTGTGTATATATACTGTATGTGTATATGTGTGTATACATGTGTATAAATATATATGTGGTTTATGAGGACACAAATTTGTATAATAACATGGGTATGACAACGAGATGGTGATTTATGAGGACATTTTCAGTTACCCCTTAATGCAAAAGGCTTATAAATAATTCAGAATGAGTTTTTTTGAAAATCTAAAAATGCAGAAAGTCTCCTGTGAGGGGTAGGTTTAGGGGTAGGGTTGGTGTAGGGCAATAGAATATACGGTCTGTACAGTATAAAAACCATTACGCCTATGGAGAGTCCCCACAAACCATAAAAACAAACCTGTGTGTGTGTGTGTGTGTGTGTGTGTATATATGTATGTATATATTTAACAGTCTGGCGAGTAAACAAACAATTTACTAGCCAATGGCGATTCAATTGCCAAGGTGTTCGTAGAGGGCTGTGTAGAACACCAATGTTCCTCAATAAGGGTTTGAGTAAGCATGGGGAGAGCAAACACTCCGAGCTCACAAGTGTCCTTCCTCAAACTTCCCACTCCTCTTATTCTCTGATCTAGAGAAACTTCACTGATAATGACTCCCTCACGCCCCCTCATGACTGGGAGGAAAATTACCACTGACTTTAAACACGAAAGTAATGTAACAGCTTACTAGATCTGTTACATCATCATCACTGTCTTCCTCACATCAGATACTGCAGCAATATTAAACTGTGTGTTCGTTACAGTCTGTGTTCTGATGAAATGTTAAAATAATAATGTCTGCCGTTCACTGAGATTCACTGAAGTGGAAGTAGAAACGGCTTCATGTGATTAAATGTTTACAGATGTTTTTAAACCTGCACTGTATATAATGATGAATGAACACAAACCATTAAACTACAAAAATCTGTCACTTTGTATTGTTGATCAAGGATTCAAATACGGGCTCCAGTACATATCTATCATTTCTGTGATGTGAAGCTCAAGTATGATGTGATGTTTATATGTTCATTATGTTTGAACTGAACTAACAGACATGATCACAGATCCAGCAGAAGCTGAAGTCAGCAGGACGGCTGGATTATTATTCAGAGGTATCACACTCTTTACATTGTTCATCGTTTCATAGCTTTGATTTCATTCCCAGTTTCACAGACTGAGTCTCTGTTTTCTCTTGATTGTGTCTCTCATCTGTCCTGCAGTGATTGTGATTATTGTTGAGTTTGCAGCGTTTGCTGCTCCTACTGTGATTCTTCTTCAGATCATCTGCAAGAAGAGCTCTGGTGAGTTTGAGATGATTCACATTGATCTGGAACGATCTGCACTCATGAGAGCTCAGTAAATGCTTTTGTGTTGAATTATTTTGCAGGGAGGAAGAACTCGCAGCACCCAGAGGAAATAGTGATGAATACAATATTAGTGTAACTTGGGAGGCGTAACAACGGAGTTGAGGATCCAAGTGCAGGCTTTATTTACAAGAGTGGTCAAAAGACAAACTGAAATTTGATTAATCAGCTTCAAGAAAAGTGACACATCTCTGAAGCACTAAAGCCACTCCCCCAGTTTCTCTTGCTCCAAATTAAAGGGCACTACATAATAAGACACTGAGGATGATTTATTATAATTATATGATTTATATATTTATTATATCCTTAATCCATTACACAAGCCATATTAAAAATAATAATGATTAATCTTTTATTTTAAATTAATATAAATATATACAGATAATATAGAATATAAATATGCTTTAGAATTAATGGATAAAGCTTTAAACAGGACTACATTTGAGTAGGGATGGGTACCGAAACTCGGTATTTAATCGGTCCCGGGGCTAAATTATGAAAGACCGGAGTATCGATAAGCTCTGACGTTAACGGTTCTGCTATCGGTACTGGAGAAATTAATAAAACACACATACATGTATTATTGCTATATATATGTAACCGGAATGAGCTTGCTATGCCTTTAAGGGATAGGTGACGCGATAGGACAGGTGACGTTTAAAGTCTCGGGCTTCAATGAAATGGCGTTTGTTCTCGTTCTCCGCTTGATGAACGAGTGTATGTGTGGTTTGCTCTCCTGTATTGGCGCGTTGGAAGAATTGCTCGTGCGTGTGATTATTTTAGCGATTATTTTAGCGATTATTGACCTAATATGAGTGCATGGCCAAGTTCATTGACAAGTGAAATTGATATGAAATGCGGTGCCATAAATTTAGGATGTGTTATTTTAGGTTCGCTCTTGTGTTCATACTCTGCTGAGCTGCGAGTGTCCATTTGTACAGAATATACTACATTGCAACCCACTTCTGCCTTTAGTGAGACTGTTATATCCAGTCATCAAAGTGAGTCATAGCGCAGTGTTGGAAGGTACATGAGTATTTTGGTTGTTTTAAGGTGAAATATGGGGGATTTATGTCTAATAAATGTCAATTGGTTTTAATTGCAGGTTTTAAATCCGCTCTCGGATTTAGCGGCCACCGTTTCTTTCCCACTAAAATTTGAGATTTGTTTAGTAGTTGTGGTGTTTGCTCTATATTTAGTTTATTGGGTTTTCATGGTATTATAACTTTTGTGATTTTATGATATTCAATTTGTTGTGAATTGTGTTTTATTGATTGGTGTACCACGGTATGGGAGGTCTTGTTTTTGGTTCGTGTGATTTTGCTTGTTTGTTTCAGGTATGGTTTGAGTGGTTTTGAATAATTTTGGGTTTCTGTTTCCTCCCATGTGGTGTGTTATCCAGTTTATGATTCAAGGTTGATTCGCCTTATCTTGGGTATCATATATATCATTGGTTTTTACAATGTAATTTAATAGTTTAATTTAAGTTGGTTTACTTTATTTCAGTTTTGTATTTGCATCCTTTTTGGAACATTTCTGTCAACCTGGTTATTATTTTAATAATATTATCCATGGAAAAGGATTATATCGGTTATTCTAATAAAGTATTAACCTTTTGTACTCTGGCTTCTAGTTCATTTATTTGAACCACCTGTGTTAAAGATATCATTGTTAGGGTCCCTTACCCTAGAAAGTAGGGGTGGCGTAGTAAATTTGGCCGACATTCCTAACAGCCATATATTTGAGGTCACATATACATTATCTTGCAAATTCTATCTCACCAGAGTCTCCAGCTGTTTATCAAACATTTGTCTATGATGCATTTTTGCTATTCACAATTCAGAAGCGAGATCGCGCTCACGCGGAGGACCTTCAGCACGCGCAACATGAAAGTCCTGTTTAATTATGATAGAAGAGAGAACTAAACATTCAAACTTCTGCTTACACTTTAGGCCTGTGGCGGTTTATTAAGCTAATTTTATTTTTTTATTTCGATTTTGGCTTCTAAGGATTACACAAAAGAAGACATGAGGTAAAGCTATTAAAAACTAGCTGCGTTTCGTCTTGCGCAACTTCTTTCCCTTCACAGCGGTGCGCATTCGTTCCTCCCTAAAACCCAAACTTAACGTCAGAATCAGCTCAGTCGGTGATTGTTGTAAAATGCCGTCTTTACTGTTGCTAAATTGCGGGACATGTTTGATAATAAAACACTGAAAGCCCAATCCGCACAAGAGACGCTGTTCATCACGCTGTGGCACGCTCCAAAACAGACAAACAAAATTACACTGAGCATCGGGCGCATGTCCAAACGATCAAATACACACACAAATATGTCCAAATGGCCGGCTTGGAGAGTATTTACTTAAACACAGTTTATTTCTTAAGTGGAGGAGAACAGTTGGGAGAAAATCTGATGCGTGTCAATATATTGTCATAAAGTGACAGACTGGCGCTTGGGCCATCAACATGCAAATCTGCTCTTAATCTGAAAAACGTTATAGCTTTAATAAGCATTAATCTATCAATACATACACTGAAAACTATGCAGTGTTCATTTACATTTGAATACTTTTAGATTTCTTTTGTAGGCTATTACTTACCTGAACAGTAATGTTAGTAGAACTTCATGGAAAAATAACAGCACTGCCTATTTCATTTCATATGTATATTTGTTTTATTGTATTTGTCAGTTTGTTTTACTTTGTTTCTTTGTTCATGTTCTTGCTGTATCTTATGTATAAAACACTAAAAATGCCTGCTCACTGGTGCATTTACAAATTTATGTTTTATATTAATTTCATTAAATGTTTTTTACATTTCAGAATATAAAGCAATGTTAATTCAGCTCTTAATTTGTCATATATATATATATATAGAAAACAAAAAGTACCGATAAGAATACCGTTAAAGTACCGAATCCATAAGCAGTATCGGTAAGAGTAGTAATACCGTTAAAACCTTAATGATACCATCCCTACTAATGAGTCAGTGGATATAGCCTCTTCAGAGACCAAAGTCAAGTTGGGCAAACATTAACTTTTTGTTTGTTATTATTTGTTATTATGGCCACATTATAAAGATTTTTGAGTGCAATTTGAAACTCTGACACAAAGGCAAGTATACTTGCCCCATTTAACCCGGCCAATCTGAACAGCACTTTAAAGGCTGGCTCTGGTCCAAAGGCACTCAGTGTCAGCTTTAATATGGACTGATCCTCCAAGCCAGTTTGGTAATGTACTGCCATTAGATCACACACAGATAGCATAACAAAAATGATTGCACAACCATCAATTAGGTGGCGATATGCACTAAGCATGTAAACAACCATTGAACAAAAGAAGAAGAAAGAAACAGCATGGCACAATTTTTCTTAGCGTCCGTTTCCATAGTGACTCGTCGATTCGTCGCTCTGCTGAGAATGTCTTGAGTCTTAACCAGGAACATACTCCGAGTTGAATGAACTTACTCCTGGATGCGTTTTTGCAACCACATACCTTGAGTAAGCAAGGTTTGGGGTTAGTCAACCGAAAAGTTAGCTGACGGTAAGTTAACCGTGCTTTCTGGAATACATCCCTGCTTTCTCTCACAGTCCAGATTAAAGCTTGTTTTCTGTGGTTTGTTTTAATGGAGTGTCCTCTCCATCACAAGGCAGAGCATCTCCTTTATTGTGACGTGACATGACATGTGGCCAAGTATGGTGACCCATACTCTGAATTAGTGCTCTGCATTTACCCATCCAAAGTGCACACACACAGCAGTGAACACACACACACCCGGAGCAGTGGGCAGCCATTTATGCTGTGGCGCCCGGGGAGCAGTTGGGGGTTCGGTGCCTTGCTCAAGGGAACCTCAGTCTTATTGGTATTGAAGGTGGGAGAGAGCGCTGTACATTCACTCCCCCCACCTACAATCCCTGCTGGTACGAGACTCGAACCCACAACCTTTGGGTTATGAGTCCGACTCTCTAACCATGACGTCCTCCTTTGTGTTTAAGGTGGAGCTGATTCTTACTCTCAGCTGATTTGGTTTTCTGTTTTATTGCATCAGTCCAGAGGCTTATTCCAGAAAGCAGGTTATGTGACATACCCAGGTGTGTTTAAGGGTAAGCGCATAAACTCAGCTTTCCATTCCATAAATGGAGGTAACTCTCAGGGTATGTAAGTAGCCATAGAAACTTACTCTCTGAACATAACAGAGTAAGCAAGTTCTGTTTCAGTGTTAGTTTACTTCAGCGCTATCAGAGCATGCGTGACCTATTGACGAGACTCCAGTGAGCGTGACAGATTGTGCACAGTATTACACATGGTTACAATGTAGTTATCAAAAACTAATATATATATATATATATATATATATTTGTATGATATGTTAATTATAAAGCACAATTATAATATAGGTATGCAAGTAGCCATAGCAACTTACTCTCTGAACATAACAGAGTAAGCATGTTCTGTTTCAGTGTTAGTTTACTTCAGTGCTATCAGAGCATGCGTGACCTATTGACGAGACTCCAGTGAGCGTGACAGATTGTGCACAGTATTACACATGGTTACAATGTAGTTATCAAAAACTAATATATATATATATATATATATAATTGTATGATATGTTAATTATAAAGCACAATTATAATATATAAGATATTATTCTAATATATTTTTATATTTATTTTATTGTCATATAATAGTTAGCAATATATATTAATTATAAAACACTATTATAACAAGGTGATGTTTATTTTATTCTAATATCTTTATTATATTTTATTGTCATTTCACACATCATGGTTCCCTTTCAGTCGGTCACTCCAAGTCACGTCGGTGACCGACGAATTGGGATCTCGCTTAGAGAGACCAATCCACTTTGAGTGTAACCTAAATGAGCCAATGCACATTGGCATGCGATGATTGCATCC